GGGGTGGGGCCCCTCCCCGGTGTGCAGCCGCTGGTGGGTGAGGAGGTGGGAGCTCTGCCCGAAGCAGCGCCCGCACTCGGGGCAGGCGTAGGGCCGCTCGCCCAGGTGGCTGCGTCGGTGGGTCAGCAGGTTGGAGCGCAGGCTGAAGCTCTTCCCGCACGCCTCGCAGGTGTTGGGGCGCGACTGTGCTGCCCCAGCACCGCCGCCACGCTCCTGCTCCGTCTCCTGCCCGGAGGACTCAGTCCCTCCCACTCTGCTCAGCAACACGGCCCCCCTCTCCAGGCGCTCCTCCTGCCCATCACCTGCTGGGGAGACGGGTGACTGCGCTCAGGAGGGCAGGGATGGGAGAGCGGCACCAGCCCTGTCCCAGCCTTGGCCGCTGACCTTGCCCCCCTCCGCTCCCAGCCCGTGGGCACGAGCACTGAGCCCAGCCCCATCCCCGTACCTGCCCTAGCGTCTCCCTGGCTCGCTCCTGCCTTGGGGCCGTGGGTGCCTGGGTCCATGCAGGGCCGGGAGCTCTCTGTCCCCTGGGGAGAAGAGAAGAGGAATTGGGGGGCAGGGGGGTGGGCTTGCCCAGGACAAGCAGCTTTGGGGCTGGGGGCCTGGCAGCCGCGTAGACCCCTGGCACGGGGCCCAGTGGAGGCAGCATCCCCTGACGGCTCTCGCTGCCATTTCTGTTTGACCGCAACAGGAGCCCAGAGCACAGCAAGGGGGCTGGCAGGGAAACTGCTTCACCCCCAAACCCTACCCAGTGCTGCACAGGGCAGGGGGAGCAGAAACCCCACTGCACCCCACCTGCAGGGGGGCTCAGGGCAGTCAGGACCCCTGGCCTCAGACCCCTCCATGTGGGGCAGGGGAGCCCCCATCCATCGTGGTCCCACTGTCCTGGCGCAGCGTGGGTGTCACTGCCCACCCTGACCTGCCAAGAGTCCCACCATCGCCCATAGGAGTGGGGATCCCCCAGCCCCCCAGGTGGAATTGCAGGGGGCAGCACTCCCAGACGCATCATTGTGGGAGCATCCTACCACCCGTGCCCCCCCAGCTCCCACTGCCCCAATGCCTTGGCCCCCCAGTCCCTCAGGACCACAGCTGCCCCCAGCCCCCTTCCTTTTTTCCCCCCCGTGCCTCCCAGGCTCAGGCTCCCCCCCCAGCTCCCCTAAAGCCTTTCTCGTGGCCTCACTGACCCTGCAGCCCCCGCTGCTCCTCACTGCCAGCTAGGATTCCTCCAGGACCTGTGCTCTGCTCTGAGCCCCCCAGGTCCTCCCTGGCCCCCAACACCTCTCCCGAGGTTTTGTTTTGTCTTTTACTGCTGTTCCAGCCACATGGGTGCGAGTTACGGTGCTCGGTACAGCTTCTGATGTTGATTTTTTGTTTGTTTTTTTTTCAGCCCTACTCCTTTAGGACCCATTTACATCTCTTATAGGAGTCAGCTGGAGAAACTTTTCCAAGTTCGGGTGACTGGGAGCTGCTGGTGGTGACCGACAATGAATAATTCACTCTGCAGCTGGGGATACTTCAGAGAGATTCCTACAGGATCTAATTCTGCTCTGGCAGCCCGTCCTGCCCAAGGGCGGTGCTGGTACCAGCTCAGCAGCACTGATAGACACCGACACGTGGATGGCACCATGTTTTCTTTTCCAGACAGAAAACTAGAGCACGCCGTTTCTGCTAGTAACGCTGGCACCACGTTTAACCAAACACCCACGGAACTCTGTATAATCTTAAGTTATTTATAGCTATTTAAAGAAAGGTTTGTGTTCTTCCCAGTAAAATTAAGTTTCATTACTGACCTGGTCAGGCTGTGGGTGTGATGTACAAAGCTGCAGCGAAGGAGCGGGTGGCAGTGTCTCCAGCAGCCACCGTTCCTTGGTTTGGTGCTCGGCGTGCTGCAAAGCCAAGCCAGAGCAGGAGGCGCGCTGCTGCACATCCTCATCCTGGGGGGCTTTTTTTGTTTCCTCCTGCTGTTTTTTTGTTTTCTCCCCCGGTCCCGGCCGCTCTGCCATATGGAACACAGTGATGGACCGCGGGGAGATGGCTGTGGGTCTGGCTGCAGAGGGGTCAGTGAGGTGAGGCAGACGCCCAGCACAGAGGAGGGTCAGGCTGTGAAGCGTAACTGGTTTGCACATCTAAACTCACTCAAGGGGCTCTGCGGTTCCTGGTGTCACCTGATGGGCGGGTAGCTGTTCTTGCGTGCAGGTGTGGAAGGTGAGGGTGCACCACAATGTCAGGATGGAGTCATGAAGACGCTAAGGATGGCCGTGCGTCTGTGTGCTGTGTGCCTGTTGCCTGGCATGGTATTTCAGCATTATGCATCGTACCTGCTGCGATGGGCCTGTCCTTGCCGCCGTCTCCGCTGCCTCCCTGCAGTCTCGGTGTGGTTGCGGGTTTTGTCCGAGGCACCGTTGGCCGTGGGGGCGGCGGGCGCTTGGGCTCCTGTCAGAGCAGCAGCGATGGTTGGGTGCGGCACAGCCAGCGGGCCGATGCTGTGGTGTATCTACTGCACACACGTTCGTTCCCCCAGGGATTTGGGGTTCCCAGAAGAAAGGGCTGGCGGAGCCGATGTGCGAAATCCTGGAGCAAGCGAGCTGGACCAAAGCGCTTGTTCGACCTCTGGTCCCACCAAGATGCTGCTGTTGTTTTTCCTGGGATTTTCAGCGTCCCTGGTTTCTGTTATTTTATTTTTTACTACTTATTACTTGCTTTAAAACATCTAGAATAAAAACTTAAGATAACAGTAACTAGAACGGTCTCTATGAGTAAATAATGCCTGGACTCTAGCTATTATGCAGAACTTTACAGACAGTAATTACTCCCAATTAATATTATGAAATCACAAGCAGCAAAATATAAATAACCGAGCACTAATGGGGATTAATATCTGCAGAGAAATAACTCTGGTTAGTATTAAAAAAATAAACCACAGGTGCTAGTTAATCTCACTTTGTAGCAAAGTGACAATCAAAATGTCAGAGTGCAAATAAACACAGGAAATATTATTTAGGGATGAGTCACGACTAAATTTAATCGTAGCTATTACTTAACAAACCAGGCAGCAATTATTCCTAATCTGTATTGTAATTAAAAAAAAAAAAAAAAAAATCAATCCTTTTTCAAGTGATCAAGATAGAAAAATAGTTGAGAGTCATTAATAGCTAAATATAGATATAGCTGTTATTTAATAATTTGCAGGTGTTAATAACTCCCACCGGAAACAATATAAGCAAGTTTTAGAATTTAAAATGAAAACAGATTGGAAAGCTGATTGGGAGTGTTTAATACTTAAATGATAACACAAGGGTGAGTGAGTTCAGAGGCGATGACGACTCCTGCTTCGAACCCGAACAGCAACCGAAGCTTTAAGCTTTTAAGTGAAGAGAAGTAAAAATGAGTCATTAGATAACGGCTGAGTTTAAACATGGGTATTAAGGAAATTCATGGGCGGGAACGATTCTCAGCCAGAGCTAATAACTTTAAGAGATTTAGATTTAAAATAAAATTAGAAAAATAACAGAGCATTCATGACCACCCAAATTTAAACACAACCATTTGGGACCCCCCCTCCCCCCCCAAACCAGGGGTGTTAATTACTTCCTAGTGGAGCTAAACAGTAAAGTAAAAACAGGGCAAATGAAATTTGGGGAGTACACAGCTAAATTTAATTTCATAAACATTCAGAACACTGACTGGACATCACTAACGCCTCCCGCTTAACGACAGCGGCGTTCAATTTCTGCATTAATGACGCCCAACAGCACCATCATCATCACCAGCCGGACGATTCCCGGAGGGGAGGGGAACTGGGAGCGCTTTACGCCAGCGATACCTTCGGACCTCCAACCCCCGGCGGGGCACGGCGATGGCGGGGCCGCGACCGCTCCTCCCGGCAGCTGCAGGGACCGGAATCCTCCCCAGGCGCGCGCCGCTCCCTCGCTGCGTGCGGTAACAGCGAATTATCCCCCCCGGCCGCCGGCGAAACCTGGCGTTACCCGGCGACCGCACCCGGAGAATCCCCCCGGGGGCCGGGCGGGGGGGGGGGGAGGG